TATATATATATATTAAAGATAAACTCTAAACCGTCTTCCGGGTAATACTATAAAGAGGAATCTGCAAGTGTGAAACGAAGTGTCCCCAAATGGGATTCGAACCCGGAGTCACCTTCTGTCTATTCAGAGCCTTAACCAGCTGAGCAACAGGAACTTTTATTAGTTCCAAACAATATGGATTGCCGATGCAACACTAGTATTCGCACGTGAGACAGAGATATGTGTCTTTACACACGTTTTAACCCTTAATCAGATATGTCGGAATAATGTAATCAAGATTCGCGTTTTCCGTCATGAATGACCATGTCTCTTGTTTTATTATGTTAACATAAGCGCATAAACCGTACATCAATAGAGTCATTATAAAACATACATCATATTACATATTTTTCTATAGTTACATGAAAGTGATACCGACTACTTCCCGTTCATTGAGAATAATATAAGGTAGAATTATGCAATAGTATCCCTTGATGACGTAGCAATTTACAGATAGATTTGTCTTTTTTTTTTAACAAAGAGGAGAAACTTTTTTGTGGTACAGTTTTTGTAATAACAAAATAATAACCACCTAATTAAAATTACCAGTAAGGTAAATAATGCATCCATTTAGAACAGAAGAAACCCTGTTCAAATCATATCCAGGCTATATAGATGTGCTATATCTCAAACAATATTTGTATTGTCATTTAAAGTAACGTCGTTAAAAGGCCTCATTGCTCTTAAAACCATTTTTCAGTAATCATAACCTAAAATAAATAAACACTTATGAATAGTTTATATATTTACTAACCAATACTAATTTGAATTCAAATGTGACAACATAATTTATTATTACTTATTTCGCTAAATGGGATTTGAGTTGCAATAACATAAATTGGTGTTCCTATAGCCATGGGCTCAGTTATGACTGAGCTACATACGATATCATTTATCTGACAGAGAAAGTTGGCAGAGATTGAATGGACCATTTAAGATCGAACGTTTCTATGACTGCAAGTAGTCAGGTTCGCCTTTACTAGTAACCTGCAACACATACTATGATGTAAAATAGCTGATGTTTCACACGGAAGCCCTCTAGATATCCTCGACACCAATTCGGGGAACTTAAATAACGAGGTACAATATGGAAACTGACACGTTGTCAGAGAGTTCAAGATTATTAGCATCATTTTCTACTTCTCGTTACTACAGCAGCTATTATGCTATTGAAAGTAGGAGTTCTGAACAGGTAGGTTAGTAGTGATTACGTTCGTCTTCCCTTACCAGGATTCTCTGCTCAAATCTGTAAATGGCTTTATTTATTTTTCTTTAAAATCATACATTGCTTTGCTCTGCCCATTGTTTCAAAAACAAGGGAAAATTGCTTTACATTAATCAGACATGAACTTTTGCCTTAATCGTATCATACCTAATAAAGGTAGTTGTGTATAGTGCATGTAACGATAGTTATTCTGCACACCTTGCAAATACGTTAGAGTGTGTATTTTGGAATAAGAAAAAAACACGAAAGATTTTGAGGGGGTCATCTCTGTTTCACACCGGATTCTGTCCTTGAATAGAAGAAGTCTGTGTTTCGTAGACGTGAAGCTTGGCGCACAGTCGCTACACTGTCGGTACAATGTTTCCAGTGCAATCGTTGTACTGCGGCTCCTCGATTCGATCGACCAATCAGCATCATCGAAAGTTGACAGCGATAGCGTGTAGCGAGTGTATGGAAACCAAGCTTGAGCTGGTGACTGGTAATAGGCCCTACATCGGTGATGTTAATATTATGACGAAGGGCTTAAACTGGTGCCCGTTTAACATATGATTTGGCGAGCGATAGAGTCAGTGAGTGTGCTTCGGCCGGGTGACGATAACAATGTGTGGGTGGGGAGGCCGGTGTGGGTGTATGTGTGTGTGAGCCGTCACAACGACGACCATGTAACGGTATCCAAGTTATTGAGCCGGTGCCGTAAGAGTTAATGTATAGTGACGATGACGTTTGTGTGAGACCAACCAATGTTGTAGTAGGCCTCGTGTGTTCCAATCAGTCGATTCGTGGGCATGAGGTAGGTGTGGGTGGTGACCAATGAAAATTGTTCTGTGGTCCGATTTGGTCTCTAGGCCGAAATATCAATGATTTGGCTACCTGGGC